CCGCGACCTGCTGTTAAAGCCCAAAATAAATAAGCCCCGAAGTCGAGACTCGAAAAACGACTGTTCCTTCGCCTAGAAACGGAGCACCCATGGCGCAAGCTTTCGCCTGGCGCTTTAGGGGAACAAATACAGGAAGTGCTGCAGTGCAACATGAGTGACGTCTGCTCTGTACACCGAGTCAGAACCGGCTTTGCGATTCTGACAGGTACGGAAAAAGCAAGTGACAGGCTCCTAGAAGCCGCACCGAGGTTTTCGGAATTTAACGCCGAGCTCGAGGAAGCCTCCAACCTTGTCGCCTTTCGAATCCCGAATGTTCCCGCGACCATAAAAATAATAGACGGTATTAAGACGGTTGATGCGAGCTGGATCTCATATGAGATCTACTGAAAAAAACATCGGCTTCCATACTGGGTGCAATCGTACGGGATATTGTTGGAAATGGAGACACAGTGTTGTGGACGTACGGGCCCTCCATTTCGTCTAGGTTCCCGACACGATCTTGTGTGTATTTAAGAGGTTGGAATGAGTAATATAGTAGCACTTCAGGCTACCTATTGGAGATATTAGCGGCTCTATGGCGTGGGCACAAGGAGGTTATTGGGGGTTTTCTATGCCTAGATGGCGCCACACTCGTTTGTGCTGTGGCTTAGGCTCTGTGTTGCTTACACTTGTACTTGTAGCGCACATCTCCCACACTTTTAGCCTTAGTCCGAACATGACACTCTTTTAGTCAACTTCTACTTTCGTTCCATGAATATTGCGCTCATTTCATTGCGCAATATTTCCAACAGATGTGCTGTCCTAGAGCGCCGTACAGAAATTGGAAAGCCCTTTTCATCCGAGCTTTCGCATTCTCGACGAGGCTGGTATGGCTACCATTCGCAAGCCTCGTCGAAAAATTGAACAGTGCAAACGCTGTTTGGGCTTCCACGTCACCCGTGATTGCTCCCGCGCTCCAGCCTGCTGGAACTGCGGATCTAACATGCTCTCGGAAGCCGAGTGCAAGGCCCTCACTAAGTGTCGCAACTGTGGGGGACTGGTGACAAAAGAGCAGCTCGCGTGGATCCGCCACATCAAACAAGGAGAGTTCCCAAAGGTGGCACGAGCTCGAGCTGCAGTCAAAAGGGTCGAGGAGGCGATCATCGCCGCGGCGAAGGATGTCTCAATGGCCGAGACAACAGGTTTCGGAGTGCTGGGATCTAAAGAAGAAGCCTGAGGGAACATCGACCTCGACGATGTCCCTTCTAGGGCATTTACTAACTAATAGCAGGATACCGGCTGGATCAAAGGTGCCTGCTAACCCATCTTTTGCTCTCAGCGGAGAATGGGCAAATTTGTCATCTAGAAGGTGTGACGGGCGACGGAATGTGTGAGGAGCGCATTGCTTGGGTCCAACATGCAGGAATCTTCTGTTTTTCGGAGTTGTTTTGATTTTCGTAATTTTTCGTTTCTGTTTAATCAGCTGCACCTTTAGCAGCGATTCACGAGGTTGGAACGAGTTAGGCTGTAGGAAATATTACAGGGAACCCTGCCGGCTCCACCGGTCCTTGACCCATTGTGAAAAAAAATAGCTTTGGAGGGCAAGACTGAACACCTGTACGCGGTGTCCTCTACGAACCTGGGAGTGAAACATTCTCCCAGAGCCAAGTTCAGTCAAATTTCGCAATACCGAACAAGTTGGCCCACGAGGCAATGATTCAAATTACTCCACCATATCAATCTTTCACTCCCAACGAAATCGATTCCTACCTAAACCTCATCGAGTTTACAAGTACGACCTAGTACATCCTAATCTCAATGACCATACCTCTTGTCGACTTTCTCTGGCCTTAGCTGGTCGCCAGATACACGCCCACGCCGATATTTACACCCGACGGAGAAAGCAAAGCCTGGCGCATAAATCTGGGAGTTAATTCTTTGGTATGGGCGTGAGGGGGATCAGGACAAGTTGATAAGATGATGCAGAGGATGGATACAGTCTCGACGGGCGTGGAATTTTGAATTTTGGCAAGGAGCTTTTTCAAATTGAGCTTTGTGCGTGCCAAGTCTTCGACTGCGAGAGTGCAGGCGACACTATAAAAACTGCCATGGTTGGATGGTGCGGTGGTACATCGTCTTGGCCGGTCTGCCAAGTAGAGTCTGGATAGCTTGGACACATATCCCACTTGAGACAGTAGATCGCTGGTTCAAATCCGGCAAAACACAACCACATTTTTCGCGGTGCTGGTATACATGGATGACGAAGGCATGCTTGGATAACCAAAGGTTTTGAATTTCCCTTCGGTGGGTACTAACGGAGGAGGGTCGACTGTTTGTGTAAGCGAACATACCTCATAGTGGTATTTGCAAATGAAATCCAGAGTATGAGTGTCTCTAACGTCGAAAGAGTCATCCCACATGTATTCATAGCGCCGGTCATGTGTCATAGCTAGATAGCTGAATACACATTAAATGATTTAAAAAAAAAAAAATAGCTTTAGCTTAGGACAAAAAATAGAAAAAAAACAGACTCCACAACACGTGATACCATAAAACTATCACTTGTAAACCAAAGCCGTAACAGTCCCCTGTAGACCTAGACCCCAGCTTTGTATATAATAACTAAGCTTCCTCCTGGCGGGTGAACATAGCATCGTAACTTTGTAGTGGTAGATGGCCGATTTCTGATGAGGCAAATACCCGATGACAATTGAAGTAACGCCATGATGTGATATTTATTGTACTACTTGAGTCTATGACTGTCTAGCACATTGGGCTCCTCTCTGACCCAGGCCACACCTTGTACAGTGCTCCTTGCCTCTTTTGTTACTTGAAAGATCATTGATACATTCCCCTTGATGAATAGCCATTCAGCTCAGTATTTACCCGTGGAATTCAGCCACCTTTTCCACGGAACCTTCTACCCAAAAAAAAAAAAAAATGGTAGCAATGGAAACTGCGTGCGCGGGAAAAAGTCTCAAAAAACCTGCAGGTCCATCGAGGCGAGGCCTAGACACCGGGACCATATGAGGTCCGCATATTCATCTATATCTCCCTTCTTTGTAACAGTCGAGGCCGAGTTGATCCAATCCGCTATCTCCGTATCGGGTGTTGGGTGGGCTCTGGAAACTTATCGGATGATTTCTCCCCCATGATCAAGTGTTGGTGAAGAGAAGAGCTTTGACTCTGGCATTTAATCTAAACGTGGTGATAGGGGAATGTGTTGAGAGATGGAGACGATACAGACGGCGAAAGCGATTGGGAATCCTCGTCGAAGCGAGGACTTTGTTACATAATCTTAGCTCTGCAGACTCTACAGTGAGAGCTGGAGGTCCGTAGGGGAGACCACTGACAGGTGTTGAAAATAGTCCCCCGAAGTAACGCCATTATCGGTAGTTGAGGCGAGGTATTGAAGTTAGATTGAGACAGAGAACTCACGTGAGAATGACAAGTCCGACATTCATGGGAAGTCGTTGATTTTAGATGTGCTTGAGGTTGCTTTCTACTTCGATTTGGATACAATTCTTCTTGGCTACCCCAGATTTGCAGAGCCTACTGAGCGATTACACCGTCGCCACTGGAAAGCGAAGAATTTGTCTTTCCCTGCCCAATCATGTGATTGAGTTCAGTGGAGTAAAGTCCTAGAAGATCACTTGAAAGGCATCAATTACGCTAAGGCTAAAATCTATCCACATTTGCACTTAATCTTACGTCTCACATATCCTAATACACCATCCACGGGTATTTGAACGAGATTCCAAGTTGAGAGAACGGAAGAGGTAGCTGAATGGGCACTAGACAAGTGACGATAAAGAGCTTTCTTTTAGAGGCTTCATAACACACTGATTCTACGCTAGAAATTCTCTTTACTCAATCTACGATACTGATGAGATCAAAGCAGAGAAGCATCGAAAGAATTCGGTATCAAGTGGCCAATCCGATCAGCTGGAACTAACGCCACTGAAAACAGGTGGAGTCGACTAGCATGAAAAACATTGGATGTAGGTGGAGAGCTAGAGTAATGATACATCCTAGCTCATCACACATGAGCTTATTCCTTTATCGCTCCACAGTTTTTACCTTGCTGAGCTAGAGCTGACTTTTTTTCTATCGTTACGAGTCAACTGAAGAAATCATGCTAGATCCCTGATCCTAATGATTCGATTGTTGAGTCGCGCGAGCATCAAAAATTGTTCAGTACTATCGAGAAGTTCTGACCTAGTCCATGACACTGTAGAATGCATTCATTCAAATAACTGCCAAAAGGACAGTGAATGGACCTTTGAATCAAATATATCTCGACCACGTGGTGTTCTTGGTAGCCTGAATCAGTTGAACTTTCTGCCAGAAGTGACTAGTTCAGCTTTTGTGCGCAACACTCTATCCATTTGCTATCCGAGAGAGAATTTACAAATCCTGGTCGGAAGGCGCGGTATATTTGCTGTAATACGAAGGTTAAGCGTCGAGCAGCTTTACGAGGTGAACTCGAGCTCGTATTTCGTCATTCCTATGGCTGAAATTCGATGACAGCAGCTTAGATCCAACCGTCATTCCTCTTGTAGCGTTAAAATCAACCAATGATAGCTACTGGAGCGGTCTTTTTCAGGTATTTGTGGATTCGCCATATTTTGAAAATCATAGAAACCTCCCGCACTTTTCCAAAAGTCTTTGTTTGGCCGTAGCATAAGCTAGAATAGTTACTACGAGCTGATATTAAACCATATACAGCGGGCTAAGATCACTAACATTCTAGCTCTCCACCTATATCCAATGTTTTTCATACTAGTCGACTCCACCTGTTTTCAGTGGCGTTAGTTCCAGCTGATCGGATTGGCCACTTGATACCGAATTCTTTCGATGCTTCTCTGCTTTGATCTCATCAGTATCGTAGATTGAGTAAAGAGAATTTCTAGCGTAGAATCAGTGTGTTATGAAGCCTTTAAAAGAAAGCTCTTTATCGTCACTTGTCTAGTGCCCATTCAGCTACCTCTTCAATTCTTTCGACTTGGAATCTTCTTGAAATGCAATTCTTAACAATCTTTCTTGCTACGATGGTATCTGGGCTCATGGCCTTGCCTCAAAGCCTTGTCGTTGGTCAGCCTGCCGACAGGCATTTCACCAACGATAGAACCTCACACAAGCTTGAGAAACTTTATTCAAATCAAAATGTTGATGTAGTAGAAAAGGATGCAAATGGTACTCACGTCACAGAGCTATCTTCTGTGAACAAAGTAGAAGATAAAGTCCTTCATGTGGTGCTTAATTCAAACCTGACCAACTCGACTACCACTGTTGTCTCTCCGATTGTCGAGTAAATGCAAAATAACCCCAAATATGAGACTCAACCGTACGTATGGCCGACTTTATAAATATACGGAGCTAAATTTCTGTAGCGTTAATTAACCCCTGAGTAACTTTAAAATTATAGATAACCTATTTCGCCATGTCAAGGGGGAGTGATGTTGAAGTTTGGACTGAAAAAGATTTGGCAGGCTATTTATGAAATGGGGAAATTGTTCTTCTCAACCAAATATCATGACAATCTAATCGAAATTATCAGTTCTCCCACTCATGTTCGTGCTTGTGCTTGCTTGTGCTTGCTTGTGCTTGCTTGTGCTTGCTTGTGTTTTATTGTACTACTTGAGTCTATGACTATCTAGCACATTGGGCTCCTCTCTGACCCAGGCCACACCTTGTACAGTGCACCTTGCCTCTTTTGTTACTTGAAAGATCATTGATACATTCCCCTTGATGAATAGCCATTCAGCTCAGTATTTACCCGTGGAATTCAGCCACCTTTTCCACGGAACCTTCTACCCAAAAAAAAAAAAAAATGGTAGCAATGGAAACTGCGTGCGCGGGAAAAAGTCTCAAAAAACCTGCAGCCCCAGCCAGGCGAGGCCTAGACACCGGGACCACATGAGGTGCGCATATTCATCTATGTCTCCCTTCTTTGTAACATGCGAGGCCGATATGACCCAATCCACCATCTCCGTATCGGGTGCCTGGTACGCTCCGGAAACTCATCGGATGGCTTTTCCTCCGTGATCAAGGTTTGGTGATGAGTAGAGCTCCGACCCTAACATCTGATCTGATCGTGGTTAGCTTCATGATAATGGTGATAGGGGAATGTGTTGAGAGATGAAGACGATACAGACCGCGAAAGCGATTGGGAATCCTCTTCGAAGTGAGGACTTTGTTACTCAATCTCGGCTCTGCAGACTCTACAGTGAGAGCTGGAGGTTCGTAGGGGACACCACTGACAGGTGTTGAGAATAGTCCCCCTCCCATTCATGTTTACATAGCGAGCGGGTAGCAAAATATTTGCCTGAATCTCATTAAATACAAAATTTGTATCTTCCAAACATAGACACTGCCACTATCAACGTACGTGTACGGGACCATCAGATACTTGTAACCATCCATAGATAATTTGGGGAAAGGCGACAATTTCCTTGCCCTCCATCAAAAAAATGATATGCGAGCCTTTCCTTCTGAATTTACTGACATGGCCGAATAATTTTTAGCGCGGTTATCAAATTACAGAAAGCAAGTTCGGCTCTATTTTCGACATTTGAAGACTAATCAAATTTAAAGGAGGACGTAAGACAAGGAATTTGTTATGATCGCTCCCGAGTCCAAGGCCCCTTGAGCGAGGAGAGAATCTTCGGCGGGAGATCTAATGACTATGGGCGTCGTTCAGCAAGACTGGCTATGATTGAATTGGATAAAGGTCATTTATGCTTCTAATTGTTGCTTGTAATCTCTGGGACAAATGACACCGTGTTATGCTCAGCCGTGTAGTTTGGTAGATCTAGTGGCTGGTGCATAGGTAGTTGATATGGCAGTATGGCATAATGGCGCGTGAAGGAGATCCAGTCTCTATGTAAAGGCATTACATGTAGTGCTATGTGCAGTATGAGAGATGGGTTGTTGATATAGGATTAATGGTTGAGCTGTCCAGTTGGTTGCACACTTTGATGTGCTGCATACTGCTTACGTGATCGGTCTACAAGTGAGCTGGCTAGGGGATAAGGGACCAGCATATCGCAACCCAGAACACAACAATTATCATCGTAACCCCAATTCCACGTATCAATGGCGATATCTCTCCACGAAATATTCCAGCTATTTCAGCGCGAGTGTACATTTCCACATCGTATACTAATTATAATACACCGATATCTGAATCGCAGAGTGCGAGGACTCAAGTTCCGAGCTTGACTACAAAGCTCTAACGTATTGTGCAGCAGCAGAGGCCTTCCAACCGGCTACGGGCCAGAAGTGGCCGCTATATACAATTTTAGTTTTCCCGACTACCATAGATCCGCAAATGGCCATTGTGTGGCCGGCTGGATGTGGGAGATTTTGGAGGACAAAGAGCTCTATGTACTGGAATATGGACTTGTGAGGGGTAGTGTCGCCGGGTTAGTTGGTGTTGGTATATAGCAGAGCAAGTCCAGAATAAAATCAGATAATTAACGAAATCTAGAGACGGAAGGTCTTCTACATCTTGCTATTTACATACGGGCAACATTTTCATAGATGAAAATACCGGAGACACAAGAATGAACTACAGAGAAACACCTTCCAGAATCCACAAATATCTTAACAGGGCCCAAAGTAGCATAGCCATAAAGATAAGAAGTGAGCACGTTGGGTCCAACTCTTATCTGCATAGAAGACATGTTCCCGGAGTAGACAGCCCACGTTGCCAATGTCGATATCCGTCCCAGAACGTCAAGCATACGATCATGGCTTGCTCCAACTGGGACAAGAGGAGAGGGGAGATACTGAGAAAGGCAGAGTCTCGGTCATTTGAGGCGATGATGAATAACCCGAAAGAGGTGGCTAGAATTACAAAGTGGATTCAACATGAAGGGATATTGGAACAGTGTCGACTGACGCTTGAGGTCGAAGCCACGATGAGGGAGAGGAGAGCAGGGGAAATGTGATATCCTGCCAGTAACAGAGAAGTTGACGATATCCGCACTGGACTTAACAGTGTTAGTGCACTTCGTGTAGATAATACAACTTTAAAGTATGTGTAAATAGAATCGTAGCGGGGGATTTTATTATAAAGGTTTCCTCGTATGAATATTAGAGTTCGTAGACATCTGCATCGGCCTTGAGGCGCCAAATCGAGCTGATTGTAATCAAATTCGAAGTATTTACGTACGGGATTTTAATTAACGACGCCGATCATAACAGTCTCCGTTGCTTAGCAACCGTTTGCAATCTACACCGTTGGTAATTTCTGTAGCTGACTAGACCCTAGAATCCATCTCTACCGTACTGGCGCAGTCAGTACACATACAGGGGAGTATTCCCACAACAAGTAGTACTGTGTAATGGGAGCTACGTAGGAGATATAAGAAGGATATACCACTAAACATGTATTCCTGGCCTACAGGTAGAGAGCGCCTGCAAGTCATTTGTAGCTGTAGACTATGAAAGAACTACAAAACAATTAAAAGCTAGAGAAACTCATAGCTTCTCGTCAAGCCGAATACGAGCACCGTGATGAACATGGTCGAGACTTACTGGATTCTAAGTAGCAATCTATTGACTCAAGGTTGGATAGATGTCCAAGCTATCCAGAATCTACTTCAGTGCCCAGTAATATGAGCTACCATAACATCAAACAGCCATGACTGTTTCTGTAGTGTTGCCTGCGTTCTCGAAATCGAAGGCTTGGCCCTCACAATGCTCAATGTAAACTCCTTCTCAAGCATTGAACCCCATCTATTCTTTTCCAACAACCGAGACTTGGTTACGTCACAGGGTGCATTTGATGGGGTTCGTCGAGATGGCATTCGGGAGGAGTGGTGTTGGCAAGTTTTTGGTCGAAAGCCCGACCTGCAGGGATTTTACGACTGCACAAAGCAACAAATTCAACCAACACCCGAGATGTGAGCTGCAAACCGGATTAAACCTCTCTGATAATCGAATTAAAATTACTCACAACCTATACTTTCTCAAAGATTCCTGGAATATATTTTCCAGCTGAACTCATCTCGCAATCCACTCCAAAATTATCACAACACCTACCAAGCACTTTCAAGTCTAAAAGTTATACTCGGTATGTGAGTTACAAGATGATGTCCATCTAATCACAAATTTCGCGCGCTGTGAAGGTACTGTTGAAGTATCGGCCTCATAATCGTCCAACCTCAGTCAGGACAGCAACACTTGACCTGTGACGAATGGCCCCGACGAAATACGTACAAAATTTCACCGGCACATCAACTAGTGTATACGACAAAGGCTGAAGCTTCGGCGCCTTGGTCTTGAGAACTTCGGTCCCCGCGGCCAGAGGTGCGGCAGCGACGGGGCAAGGCCGGAGGGATAGAAAGTCTGTAAAGCTTCCGCGATAGCAGTAACAATTGAGAGAAAAAGGAGTAGCCACAAGGGGAGCAAAAACTGAGTAGACCTTGATGGGCAACTGGATGATATGAAGAGATACTGGGATGAATAATAAGTGGGACTGAACGGAAAGGACAGGCTAGAGATTGGGAGAGTATCAAGGGCTCTGACGCGTGGTAGCCAAGGCTGAAGACGAGATTGCGCTGCGGCGTGTCAAAGTCGGGTTCTTTGGACGATTGGACTTGACTTGTTCAACAAATGGGTGAATTTTGAGCTGGTCTAGTCTCTCAGGTGGGAAGAGATCTATTGTACTTATATGGTAGTTAACCTAACCCGGCCCGGCCCCACTCGTGCTCAAGTTCCCATAGGAGTGCGGAGGGTGCCAATTGCCTAGAACGCTAATGAAGGTAAAACTAAAGCCTTCCTAATTAGAAAGTGCAACAATTTCTAGCTTCATCCTGTCAAGCTGGCCTGACCTGTGGGTGTGTACTTGGTGGTCGACTGAGGCCAGAGAATGAGTCGGCGAGAGGTTAGGTTATTGAAATGAGGATATACTAGGTCGCACCTGTAAGCTTGATGAGGCTTTGCTAGGGCTCAATCTATTATAGTTATGAGCTATTTGGAAGTCATATTGCGTTGAGATGAGGAGCGGATGATGTTATATCTTGTGGATAATAGTGAATGGACTCGTGAAATACTTAGCTGTAGGTATGTGGTCAGAAAGTATAAAATTAGACCCGTATCCATTTTCTACAGGTACATCTATGAAATTATATTCACGCTCGCCTAACCAGTTCGCTAGTGATATATGCTGTGGCCTTGAGCCACTCGTGATGCCCTAAACTCAACTACCTCGTTCATTCATGTCATAACACAATCTCGACTAAAGAGGGAGATTTTTTGGTGGAGTCTCTCGAATCATTACCTAATGGTCTAACTTCTTCCATAT